GACCTCAAACTGCTAGAGCTGATTTATCTATCGTTATGATCAGCCGTAAGTCCCTGGACTTACATAGTCTTTCATTTTGGTACAGAGGTATGGAAACCCAGAGTCCCAGGTCAGGCTAACTGTTGAGTGTGGCCCTCTGTGGACTTTGCCCTAGCTCTCTCCATACTTGGCTTCTTTCTGATCCCTATGCTGTATCCTTCTACCTTGTTGTCCCTCTTGGAGACACATATCTTATACATCTTTTGTTTGTAAATTCTCATTTTAGAGTCTGCTTCTGGTACTCAGAACCAAAACAGTCCCCTAAGCCTAAGTAGGCTTGATTCATTATAGCAGAAATTTCTCAAGTTGCTCATCTGACCAATCAGATATTGTTTTTGCGGCCACAATCATTTCCCTCAAATAACTATTTGGAGTATCTTATCTTTATACTATAACCTAATATAAATCTACTTTGTAAGTATTTGTTCTGCAATATTATTTATTCAGAAAAGGCCCAGTATAATTCAATTTAATCTATTGTTTTTAAAATCAGTTACAGCTTTTAAAATGAACTATTAATATTTAATATATTAACTTAATACGTTAAGCTGAACTATTAATTCTTAACATATTAACTTAATATATTGAGCTGTTAACATAGTTTTATACTTTGACCTTGTAATAAGAAGAATTATATTTCAAAAGTTCTATCCCTTAATTGGTTATTGTGTATTATTCTTTAAATATTATATTGGGTTGAATTTATTAATATTTTACTCAGTATATTTGTATCTATAGTCATAAATATGATTTGTCTTCTTTGATTTCATATGTAGTCTTTGTCGGATTGTGGTGTTAGACTTTTGCTAGTTTGCAAAAATAAAAAGAAACTTTATATCCTGAAACTTTATATTCTGAAAACATATGACTCTCATAGTTGCAGTAGCAGGAAACTGGAGCCGGCCCTAAGCAAGCACTTAGTTAAGTACCAGACACTATACTCAGCACTTACTTTTTATTTGCATGTTTAATGCCTAGAGCAACCCAATGAAGGAGGTCCCAGTATGATCTCAGTTTTACTGATGAGGAAACCAAGGGTTAGCAAGGTTAAGGAAGGTACAGCTGGTAAGTGGTAGAGCTGGGGTTCAAGTACAGGCAGACTGACTCCAATGGGTTCTACTTTATCTTCTTCATATAAGGAGTCTTATGTATTTGTCTAATGGAGTTTGCAGGTCACTCACGTGGCTTTGTGGATATGACCTTTCAGAATGCCAAGTGCTTCATGAATTGAATCTTTCTCATTACATTATCACCTGTGTTTTTGGGTGGGGAGTAGTAGACAAGGAAGCATTGATGAACTTTCTAGGGCAACTGTGATATGCCTGAACAAGGCTTTCTTCATGTCTTAAGGATGTTGGCATACACAGCCAATTCCTTACCAGGCTTCCCCTGGCATAAGCTTTCCTTAGGTCCTGTGTGTCTCCACAATTGATCCTGAGGAGCTGGCAGAAGTCTTGTTTTTTAATTTTCCTCTCTAGAATTAATTTGTACTTAGGTGAACTCAAATAAGGGGAAGATCACACATGAGAACTTTAACCTTAAATGGGGTGGAGGATATGGAAATAAAACAGTTGCCTTATTTTCCCATCTGCCTGGTAAGCATTGTATAGTTGGAAGAGTAATAAGTAGAGTCATACCTCTTTAGAGACTGAGACTTTCTTGCTGTCATGGACTCATCCCCCATTGTTCCATCTCAAATCCAAATGTAATTAGAATAATCCAAATCTAACTGAATCCATGAGTGAGCTGTTAGGTGCTGGAGGCCTTGTACTATTGGTACAATTGATCTGAAGCTCTTGGAGGCACCAAGGAAATTTGTAGGCTATGAAACTGATAATTTTACCATGGAACAACTGAATTCCTGTGATGTGTTCTAATGTCCTAGTATACAGTGTACAGTAGAGTGGTGCTGAATTGTAGAGACATTTGTAGTTTTCATGGGATGAAAGCCCTTATTTTCGTATATTTTTACTCTCAACAAAAAAATCCAGTCATTTCTGTCAATAAGAGACTAAATTAATGCCCACAGTTTGCTTAGTTCAAAAATAGGCATGCAGAAGATAATTTACCTATATTTTAGAAATCTAAAGAAATTATTCCTCCACCTTACAAGTGCTGAAATTACAAATAAGAAAGTATATGCTCAGATAGTATGTGGCTTTATCAAGAGTAAGATGACAGAACCATTCATTCATTCATCTACCTACCTATCCAACCATCCAACAGGTATAAGTGTGGCTTTGCCATGAATTAGACTTAGAAGATATGTGACCATAATACACAAAGGCCCTGCCTGCTTACAACTCATCAGAAAACTAGATCTGAGAAAATTGTGATGTTGAAAGTAGAATATACTTGAATACCAAGGAAGATGTTCATGTGCATTGTGGAAGATATTCAGGAAGAAAAATAGTGCTGGAATCAGGAGGACCACAGGCCTCCTGGAGGAAGAGTCAGTGTGGCTTAAATGAGGTGATCGAGAGAAGCCAGCCTATGCCCAGATTTATTAACTAGACCGGGGCCAGATAGTACAGGCCTTGCAAAAATGGGAAGGATAGTGTATGTATGTTACATCTTCTATTTTGTCTGAATGTTTAAGCATCCATAATGTTTATAATGTGCCTTATAATGTTTACGGACTTACTATAAAACTCTAGCTGAACAGTTAACTCTGAGGAAGAGAAAGCCCTCCAAAAAACAAAAACAAACTAAAAAAAACCTCAAAATTGTGCTTCATCAAAGTAGAGACTGTTTTATCAAGACCAGAATTGTCACCATAAAAATGCACTTACTCATTTTGTCACTGCTGATGGTCATTACCCAGTGGATGGATCCAAGCTTCAATTTGAACTATATTATGGTAGGCTAGAAGCTCAAGCTGTAAAAGACCTAAAAGTTTATATTGCACAAATGGAACAGCCCCTGGTAAAGGAAATGGTCTGTTGAAATCACAAAGCCAAATGTAAAATTGTTGGTCCTTATTTAAGAAAACCAAATTTGGCTTTGGAATATTTCCATCTTTTCTCAACTTTTCTGCATCGCTCAGTGTGGGAGGCCACGGGACTCCCTCCAGTCCTTGTTTCCCAGCTCTGGGTCCATGAAATGCTCTACCTGCTCATGGTATCTGTTTTCTAGCCAGTTCCACTGTGCAGTATTAGTTTTGGCTTTGGAAAATGGAGTTTCTTTTACCTGGCTAGAAGTATATAGCAACCATTTTATACATGTGCCTTATGAATTAACTGAGCAATGAGAAGGAAGAGCATGCATATTGAACATTTGGGTTTGTTTTTTAAGCCGTGATTCATCCAGATTTCCTAGACTTCCTCTGGCCAAGCCTGAGTGAACTCACACTTGCTACTTAATTCTCCCATTTATTCCTCTGGAAGAAAGGAATATTCTAATGGGGCCAGATCTTATACAGTATCTCCTTCTTCCAAAGTCATTCATTCATTGTCTTCCTGATGGGTGCTTCCGAATGGGGCAGCAGAAAATGGAAACACCACTTGATGGCACAGCAGTTTCCCTGAGGTTGGTATGCCATTGGGAATAAAATGGAGATATAGGGTGGAAGTGAAACTCCAAGTTTGACTCTGTAGAGGAAGGACCCAGGCAAATTTATTTCTTACACTCTGGCTTCCTCCTGGCCTCTGCACACGTCCCAGGCTACTCTGTGAAGACTGTGTGAATCTTCACTACTGGCCCTTCAAGCCATCAGAGTGTCCCTCCCTATCTGCTCTATTTGGGCATTTTCCTTTCCTCTCGGTTGGACAGACTTCCTGAAATGCTGTTTTTCAGACCATCCCTTTTCCTAGGATCTAGTGACCCAAAGGAAAATGGTGCCTGATATTTTCAGTATCTAAAATGAAGACATAGGTGCAGGTGGTAGTCTCAGCAAGAGAGAAGCCAGCATGAAGCTGTTTTTGAGGTCCCTGCTGCTGGTGATGTGATCTTTTGAGAAGTATATAGAAAGTTACCTAGAAATGTTCGTGTGAAGTTGCATGCATTCACCAGCTCCATTCCCAGTTGACTAAGGACTTCTTTCAAAGGAAAGGTTGGTCCTGTTCGTGCCAGGGCTACAGCTGAGTGTGAGTGCCGTGAAACTGTCAACAGAAGATAGTACATAGCTCAATTCAGAACTGCGCCAGGAGAGACAGGATATCTGAGGCATGTGCTAAACCTATTTCTGACCCTTCTTTAGCTTCCCACAACATCAGTTCAAGCAGCAATTGTTTTCTGCCATTTTAGTGGAAGCATCAGTCAGCTTCTTTTTTAGCCGTAACCAATTTACTAGGATTTTTCACAAGCCCAAAGCAAAAGCAGCCTGCAATAATGTTCCCTTACCCATAGTTTCATTTTCTGTGGTTTTAGTTACTCATGGTCAACTGCAGTCTGGTAATATCAAATGGAAATTTCTAGAAATAAACAGTTGATAAGTTTTAAATTGTACAGGCCATTCTGCATAATGTGATGAAATCTCACCCCATCGCACACACAGTGTGAATAATCCCTTTGTCCAGCTTATGCACACTGTCTCTTCTACCCAGCCATTAGTAATACCCATTGGGATTATCAAACCAAATGTGACAGTATCACAGTACTTACGTTCAAGTAACCTTCATGGTCCTAAGTGTTAAAATTATGATGCAAAGGAGGAACCAGTTCAAGAAAATCCAGGATAGATTAGCTCTGGTCCTGCATGGCAGTGCTGCAGGACATATAGAAAGAGTACTGTATAGAGAATGTGTAGGCTTAGTTACTATTTGCAGTTTCAGGCATCCACAGGGTATGTTGGAAGTATCCCCTATGGATTAGAGAAAATTGCTATAATACCAAGGAGAAATGGAAGGGTAAGAGTTTGGAAGGAGGATGGGTATGAGTTTGATTCTAGACATAGTTTCTTCCTGATGGTTGTTCTTGAAGCTAGTTATAAATTAAGAAAAAATTTAAATGTGAAAATGTGTGAAAAGTTAGAATATTTAGCTTTATTGTTTAAGAAGTTTTGAGCTAAACAAATAAAACAAGACTAGACTTCAGAGAAGGTAAATAAGGAATTGATTTACTTTAGACACAGTTCCTTCTGTTTCAAAATGATTGATACTGAAATTTTTTAATTCAGTAAAATTAAAATAAAAAATAAATGTGCTTTAATAATTTACAAATAGTTGAGGGGTAATGTGACCAACAAACTCTTTTCTTCCCAAAGAGGCTTTCTGGATTGGTTGCACCTTTAGCAGGCAAGGAAAGAAATTTCTTTGAAGAAGTTTATGAAATACCTCCCTTGACTTTATTATGTTTGTGTTCTTACGTTTCCTTTTATTTGAAGTAGTGTCAAGTATTTGAAGATTTGGGGACAATAAATAAAATTGATGGCCATTTTTGGCATCCATCTTCTGAATTGGTATGTTTTGCTATGTTCAGAAGTTCATTCCTCAGTCTCCAGGGGGCCTAAAGACAAAATGAAATGAGGCGATGTCAGGGTTTCTTGTACACATTCCACGTCTCCCCAAGCCCTGTCTTCCCTTCGCTTTGGATGGGTGGACTCTAATGATTGCAGCACTCAGAGCCTCGTGAGGTCTGTGCTACTTACTGTTCCACTGTTTTCTTTCTGCTAATGTTTTCTTCTTGGTAACAATTCTGCCTCTCTCTGGTATATTAGTGGAGAAAGGATGGTGGACCTTATCATCTTAGGAAATAGTGTATGCACAGACAGACCAAGACTGCTGCTTTCCTTAGCTGGCAGCACAGCGTCTCTAAAGTGCACGGGTGGGTGACTGTCTTCCTCACTGCCCCTTTCTGAGTACTTCCTACAAGCTGGGTATAACCTAGACAGCTCAAATATACTTTCACACTTCACAGCAAATTTTTATCTATTATGACAAACCACCCTAAATTTTATTGGTGTAATACAACAACCATTTATTATTGTTCATGACTTCAGCCATTAGCTGGGTAGTTTTTTGGCCCTGCTCCAGGCTTGGCTGCTTGTCTAATCTTACCCATGTGTCTATGTGTAGCTGGCAGATCATCTGGAACCCAGCTGTTGCCTGGGGTGGGGGTGTAGCCGGTCTGTGTGTTTGTTATCCCTCAGCAAACTAGCTCTGGCTCGTGTTTTTTTAGCAGAGTTCCAAGAGAGCAAATAGTTCCAAGGCCATTTGGACTTGGGCTTGGAGCATCACTTCTGCTGCATTCAGTTGGTAAGAGCAAGTGATGAATTCTGCCCAAACGCAAGGTAGAAAAATCAGAATCCACTGTTAATGGGAATAGCTGCAAAGTCAAACTGCAGAGATGCATGGACACAGGAAGAAATTAAAGTGGTGGCCAATTTTGCATACCATATACCTCTGAGAGTAGGTAGAATTATCCTGGTGTTTCTTAGTCGGAAGCTGTTTGTTCCCCAGAGAACATTTGGCACTTCTAGGAGAAATTTTTGGTTGTTACAACAGGGCAATATTACTAGCATCTAGTACATAGAAGCCAGGAATGCTACTAAACACCTTTTAGTATACAGGAAAGCTTCCCATACAAGAAAAACCTGTCCAGTCCAAAATACCAGGGGTATCAAGGTTGAGAAACCCTATTATTCTGTTTTATACATGAGGGAACTGAGGATCTTATACTCTCTGTAGCTGTACTTCACAGATGCTCCCCCTATCTACAAACCCAGCTTTTTAGAAAAGCCTTGGCCTTTTTTGTATGTGGGGGCAGGAGGGTGTTGTCTATTTGCTGTTACGTAGAATACCTGAGACTCGATGATTTATAAAGGAAAGAAGTTCATTTTGGTTCATATTTCTGTAGGCTGAGAAGTCCCAGAACATAGTACTAACAAAAGTCTTGGGCGACTTCATCTGTAGAAGAAAGCAAAAGGGCGTGCAGGCCCATGCAGAAGGAAAGGGGCTGGAACTCACCATAGTGAGCATGTGCTCCAGAGAAAGCGATTAAACATTTATGAGAGCTGTGCCCCTCTCCTGCCTAAACCCCTCTCACTAGGCCCCACCTTCCAACTGTCACTCTTCATCCTTAATTTGAGAACATTGTGTGATAGGAAATGCTACACATCTTTGTGAGACGATAAATTTTGGAAAGTCTAGAGTTAAGTATGAATCTAATGTTTCTAAAGATTACTTGTTGGAGGAAGCTCCCACTGTGACATTAAGAAGAGGAAATGTTTCTATCTGATCTCTCTGTTGTGATAGACAGAACCAAGTACAAATGTTCTGGGTTTATTTTCCCAAACAAATGCTCATCTCTGTATCATACTGGGAGGAATGTACCTGTTCTGTCCCAGGAACAGTTCAGGTACAGTCACACGCATCATCTCAGGACACTCGTGTTAACCCTGTGCAGCTAGGATTGCATCTCCATTTTACAGAGAAAGCAACTTAGCTCAAAAAGGACATGATTTCTCCAAACACAAAGATAGTAAATGGCAGAGTTGGTCTGATTGCAAACTCACCCCTTTGTTATACTGTCTCACAGTTAAAGATAGAACCTCATTGCTGACATCAGCAAACTGACATCATGTCAGTAAATAACTATCTTTCCAAAAGAACTATAAAACAATAAAAGATAATGTAGAGGACTAAACACATTGTGTGGTTGTATGGCAAAGTCTTGATCCTGGGCTCTTCAGGCTCTCATCTCAGCATCAGGCAGAGGCAAAGCATCATGGCTTTGAAGTAATCTCTTAGAGACATCTGAGGTCTGAATGGTAGAGACAGAGTCACTGCTTCTTTATTTCAGGGGTGACCATACAGTCTGTTAAACTAGGCTACTGAAGATAGTGTTATGGGTTGATGCAATTTTGGGAGACAGAATTTTAACCTCTTTTCTCAGAAACCCTTTGTATAACTCAGGCCCCTGGACAACAAAAGTGAGAGCTTTTGCTGTCAAGTTCTCATGACCTTTATTTTGAGCCTTTCAGTGCTGCTAAAATGTAAAATTTAAACATAGAATTCTTTCCAGGTGTCATTTTTTGGCAGTTAAAAAGCATATGGCTGAGGAGATACAGCTGAGTTGGTGCTCCTTCCTCTGCAGGCTCTCTTTTAGAAGGTTCCAGCTAAGAGTCAGCCTTTTATCTCCAAATACAGCATCAAGCAGTAGATGTAGCCACAGAGGGAGGTGAAGGAAGGCCTCAAATTAAGATGAGAAACAAGTTCCTCAGACAAGCAGAAAGTCCAAGTTTTGAAGCAGTCTGTCAAGCTGGGCGGATATGGGAGGTGCTTTCAGCTCTCCCTCATAAGTTCATGAAGTAGAGCAGGGAGTCTGAACCTCATGCCAAAGAAAGGTCTCCGTTTTACAAAATCTGTTGAATTTTCTGCACAAGGGACTTGCCAGTTGGGACCCATAGATGGGCACACTAGCTGCAAGCAAGGAGTTTCTTGGCCAGTTGTGAAGGTCCAGGCCATTTGACTTGTGGTCACACTGCTGTTTCCATCTGGGCTAAGGAGGATTGATGAATCTTCTACACCAGTGAGACACCATTCTTGCTTTTTGTTTCTGGTCGGAAGCATCGTATAGGCCAGAGTATGTTTTGTGACTTAAAATACCATGCATAAAATAGTTCGTTTCCTGGCAGAAACGCTGCTTGAGTTGCGGCTTCTTTCTTCCTACCTACATGGTGCTAAGACAGAGTGTGGCCATATAGTTAGTTCCTGGGAAGAGTGTCTACCATCTACATGGTCTCTGGGCCAGCCAGGCCAGACACGTGTAGAACTGTTGAGTCAAGCTGACCATTGATGAAAATCCTGTTTTCAGACAATTTATGCCCACTTTGACAAGTTGCCCAGAGTCTTAACGCTTTGTTTTACTTGACTGTATCACAGAGGGTAGGGAACCTACCCACAGTGCCAGGATTAAAAATGGGACAGACATAAAGAATGCACAGGCTTACTATCCCTTATCTAAAAGGCTTGGTACCAAACTGTTTCAGATTTCAGATTTTCAGATTCAAGATGCTCAACCTGAACTCTATAAATATGTGTCTATTCCTTCCTTCCTTGTAGCATTTATTAGACTCAGCCATTATAAAACTAGCTTTCCAGCTTTTTAAGAAGGAGAACAGGAGAAAACCTGGGAAAATGTCCTGCCTGGTGTCACAGTGCTTGCTGGTGGCCTGTAAGGGATTTCTTCAGGGGCAGAGGGCTCTGAAGAATTCCTGGCATCCCTACTCCAAATTGCAGGGCCATTTGTGGTGTTCAATGACTCATCAAGCCCATGCCTTCCCTTTCCTGTGAGACTGGCCACATGGGTACAGCCCAGGAAGCTACTTCCCTCACAAGAGAAGGAAATGTGTCTCAGAATCTAGATCAGTGCCACTCAAAGTCTCCTGATGATCAGCATCCTCATCAGTTGATTAGAAAAGCACACACACACTCATTGCCATATTCTCTTGAGTTACAAACTCTGGGGTGAGTCTCAGAAGTCTGTGTTTTGAGGACACTATAGCTGACTGGTACACACTGAAGTGTGGAAACCATTGTGCTGCAGGCAAAGCAAAGAAAACCTCTGCCCTGGGCACTCTAAAAGCCCCTTCACATTCCAGAACCAGGAGGGAGTTTGTACTCTGAGGTTAGACTGCCAGACCTGACCTCTTGCTCTTTGGCAAAGTTGCTGTGTGACCTTGAACAAGTTCCTACAGGCTCAGTGGGCCTCTGAGTCCTTATTTGAAAAACAAAATCATCATGACATATATTTCTTCTGGGTTGTTGAGAAACAAATTGGTTCATCCTAGCAAAATGCTTAGACCAATGCCTGCCATGTGATCAGAATTCAGAGAACATTAACTCTGTCACCTTCATTTTCAGGCAGTGCATTTGGGTTGAAAGTCTTATTTTGATGGTGTTTTGAACAGCTAAATGCTTACATCTACCCGTTACTGTAGGTGTTAGAACAAAGAAAAGCTAAACAATAAGAACCATAATGACAGCACCCATAGTAATTCTTTATAGAAAGGATTCTGAATTCTATAATGTATGATGTAAGGTTCTTTTAATCCTTACAGAAAGATGCAGAAGGAATTACTCTGAGTTTTACAAATAGGTACTTGAGATACTACTTTTTAACTGGTAAAGCTAAGATTTGAACTAAATTACTTTGGAAAAAACAAGCATTGCATAATCACAAATTGAGGAGTTTTCAGAATCCTGTTTCCTTTCCCCTAGGAAACTAAAGAGAAAGATGGCATTAGCCTGCTATTCAAGATCCCTCTCCACATTCCCTGGAGCCTGGTATGGACAGTAAAAGAGCTGGTCTTCCTAATATGAACAAAGGGAAAGTGCTTAAGAGTGATAATTAAATGAGTTCATGTTCAAGAGGTGCTTAAATGGATTAAAATCAATATGTAGTCAAGTGTACGAAGCCACGTTAGCTGGCTTTCTTAATGTTTCATGGGTATGGTTCTTCGTTGTAAAAGAATCTAGTGCAGCTCTGCCCTGCAATGGATGTGA